CAAAAATAGGGAAGGAGTCCGGATCCTCAGTAACCGGAATCGGGACGAAAGTCAGGACCTTCATAACAACTGCCGTGCTCCAAGATCCATTCCAACACTCAGACAAGACACATGTACAATTAGAACAGTCAATCATTTCTGATCCTGTAGTATTGGTATCATTGGTCAAAAGGAACAGAAACGGAGAATGAAGGCAGACTGCTGCAGAGGGCAGTGTAGCATTGGACACCTGAGAATTGTATGAAATGTTTTTAAGCCTCCTACCATTAACGGTGTCCTGTACAGAGCCAGACACATTAAACAGCCAGCTCTGGACTCCTCTCAATTGGGCCAGAGCAGAGACATCGGCTGTGGCCCCCTTTAACATAAATGCTCTCCAATCCAGATACTTTCCTGGAGAAACACAGGCACGCACCAGGCTCGCCCAATCAGACGGAGTCATACAAAAGCGAGAAAGGCCCTCCACCTGGGTAAGTGTAAATGCAGCATCCACACCATAGGTTCGGACTGATTCAGCCAATGTCTTGACAATTTTAAAGTCAAGGGGTTCATGATATTGCCCCCGATTGGCATCTTGAAACACAGGGAATGCTAGACCCATGTCCAAATGAACCTTTCTCCATGTTTGTGCATGAAACGTCCTATTGGATCCTGGGTTAGGATAGGGTGGAGGGTCAGGAGGAATCTCCAAAGCATCCTTCCCCTCTTCCTCATATCCCACATCTGTCTTTGGGTACTTATGTTCTGTGTAGACAGCCTTACAGGGATCACCTCGCCCTTTAGTTTCACCATTTCCCCTTTTCTCTCTAGCTTGCCGTGATAGCAACTCCAATACTTCCTCATTGTCTGAGCTACTGTCTTCCTCAAGGGCTTTCAATGCAGTCAAATCTGGATAAAGTCTAGTCTTTGGCTGACTTGAACGTTTATCATCTCTATCACTTCCCCCACTCTTAATACTTTCAGCTCCCTCGGACCTCTCCTCATGCAATTGTTCAAGAACCTCCTGTCCTTTGGTTAGGGCATCCTGACATCTACTGTCAGATAAGCAACCCCTTACTAACTTCCATAAAGGAATCACCCCACCTTCGAGGGTCCCTTGTTCGTGTGCAAAATCTAAATCCCTGCCTAGTTTTTCCCAGCTGGGGGTCGTGAGACTGCCCGAGTAAGCAAACCACGGGGCCGCTAGATCTACTTGTTTTAAGAACGTCTGCAAAGTACTCTGTTTAACTTTTAAACCTTTAGATCGTAGCAGTCCATCCAGGGCTAACAGAATAGGGCTAGAAGCAGAGGCGCCCATGGCGTTAATACAGAAAGCGAAAGCAAAGAAATAAAGCGAAAGTCCAAAAAATCCCCGCTCTCTCTGCTTACAGAGGAGCGACCCGCTAATTTTTCCGCGGATTCCCACTTACCTGGGAACTTACCGGTGCACCACCCTGACCGCTAAAAGTTCTGGATCCTGGGATTGAGAGGTATTCGGTTCTCCGCGCGGGCCACCAACTGTCGCGACCCCCTCGCCAGCAAGGAAGACACGACACAGGATTCTTCTTTCAGCGGTTTATTCAGGCCTTAACTCTAGTTTTCTCTCAAGCGCTCTCTCTCCCTCACGCACCCCCACACAGCCTAATAAAGCTTACTCAAGTCCAATCCAAAGCTGCCACGCGGGGTTTTCTCATTGGGTACTGAGGGACAGCGCGCCAATACTCCCAAATAAGGAGTTGTTTACCAAGATCCACAACGGAAACCGGCGCCATCTTCTAATGGCGTCAACGGTTTAGAAACACGGCTCACCACAGGTGCTCACTGACCTGCTCTCCCTACCATCACTGGCCTGTCATATTCACTGTCCCCATCCCTGGACATGCCTCCCTCAGCCTCCAGAGCTGACATGTTCCACTTTATTCTCACCCGCAGTTCTAGGCACCTTCCTTGCCCTTAGCTCATCCCACATCACACTCAGTGAGCTCCAGTTTCTTGCATTCCTGCTGTCTCTGACACACCCTAAATCTCACCACATCTCCATTTCTCATTTCAAAAAGGCCTCCTCTCCAACCCACTGCCCACTCTGTTTCCTCTGTGTTCTTTATCATGGCACTGCTGCCTTTGCCCTGCCTGCCCCACTTGCCACAGTTACAAAAATAACACATACACCATCCAGTTAAAAGGGCTTAGAATATTGTAAAATGCATGTAACACCACGATAAACATATTCCTGGTACTATCTGTTGGGACACTTTTCAGAATCTGTCCTCTTTTCTGAATATGGAATCTGTGTTAGCATTTGGTGAAAGCAATTGTCTCTCTGTTACCCTTCCACTCCTCAATGAGTCGCCTGCTCTGGGTAGTTCAGTGCTGTATGAATTCTCCCTTTGATCAGACCGAACACCAACTGAGTGAACTTAATCTGTGAAGAAATGTCCAAGTCAATAATTTCCCTTTACTGAACTCTAAAGGAAAAGATATTATAACTCCTTCGAGGGGTCTTAATTTCATTTGAAACTTATTGTAAGGTAGTTTGTAATGGTGTTGTATTTGTTGATGAGCAAAGAGCAATTTTACGTATTTCTAAAGGAGGATAATCCTAGTTGGTCATCCTTTTTAAAAATCATTTTTTTTCATGTAGGTTCATATTTTTCAGACATTGTCTCCTTTTTTATAAGCAATTTAACATATTAGAGCCAGTGCAATGAAAACCATTTGGACAATGCTTTGGACATTTGGTTATAATTTCTTTGTCTGCCAAACATTTTTCAATAAAGCTAAATGTTGGCTCTAATAGTCTTAAATGTGAAGACTATTAGAAATGAAATTTATTAACCTTGAGATGGACTGTGGCCTACATATTTTCTTCATTGCATGTCTTATCTGCTGAAGTATTTATTTTATTTTATTATGTATTAAATTGATAGTGGTAAACTATGTTTTTGGCATCAGGATAAACTAATGTACTATTGTGCAAACAATCTTAAGTCATTTTTCAAACTTCTTATTAGAGAAATTTTTAGACACAAAGTAAAACAGAATGGTATAGCAAATCTTTATTTACCTTTTGGCTTTAATAATTATCAGCCCTGCCCAATCTTTTTTTTTTTTTTTTAAATCTATACCACCCTACTCCTCACTGCTTCCAGGAAGTCTCAGGTATTACATCATTTTACCCATGCACAAATCAGAGGCAAATTATTTATTTTTTTTAAGAAACATAAGTAATCATAATACTATTATCAGATCTGAAAAAAAAAAGAAAAACGATTCCTTAATTTCATCATATGCCCATTGTTGAAATGTTCATGTTATTTTATTTTAAATTTACTTATTCTAATTTGTTATACTTTATAGCAGAATGCATTTCAATTCATAATACACATATAGAGCACAGTTTTTTATGTCTCTGGTTGTACACAAAGTAGAGTTACACCACTCCATTGTTGAAATTCTTACAGAGGCTTGTTAGACAGTTTGCTTAAGTTAGGATTCACTCTAGTTACATACGTTTTCCTTTATTCATGCATCTCTTAAGTGGTTTTTAGTCTTATTTATTTATTTATTTTTAGTTTATTAACTCTCTGGGTTCCCTCTTGAGTTTTTTAAATAAATTAGGTCCTTTGTTCTTTAGATTTCCTCACAGTCTAGGTTTTTTAGATTGATTCCTCATGATGTCATTTAACATGTTCCTCCATCTTTGTTGTTTGCTCTAAATTTTGTGGTTAGTAAAGATGCTTTATCAATGTTAGGTTTAATGGGTTTACTTCCATCAAGTCTACACAGTATGTTTGGTCTGTTTGTAGTGTTAAGATGAAAATTAGATTCAAATGTTGTCAGCTTCACCCTTTAAAAGTTGGCCATAAACTTTGCATCTAACAGTTTTAGTACCACTGATAATTTTTCCCATGATCTATTTCATATTAGAGATTATTAATTAATGATTATTTCCTGGAATATAACATAAGTTAAAAAATTCTTTTCATTAATTGTATACTTATTCTGAAGTATAATTTATACTGGAAGTTCAAGGAAATTTTTGATTCTTTCTTTGGCACTTTTCAGAATGAGTTGGTTCCCTAGCATTTCTCAAAAGTCTCAACAAAATATTTGTTTATTTTTTGGAAACTCATGATATGAACACATATGATGAGCTTCAATTCATTTTAGTAGTTAATTTTTTAATCAAATTGTGCCTCCCTTTACCAAGGGATCCCTTGAGTGGACTTTGAGTCTTATAGATCAGCCTTGCCCTGTATCCTTGTGCTCTGGTGTATAGAGCTACATTCCTTGCTCATTGTAGCTTTTTTTGTCCCAGTGGAACCAACCGTGGAACAGAAGGAGAGAGAATATGAAAATCTTCCTCTCTCTTAACTCAGTTTTACTCTATCCAAACTGTGTCTCTGCCTTCACTGTTGATCCTGTGGCTTTTGTACTCTCTCTCACTCTCAGTAAATCTTATCCAAAAGTCTGTTCTAAAATTGGATGAACCACATTAGCAATAGTGATATTACCTGGTGTTTCCTATATTCCTTCAATAGCATCAGTTCTGTTTGAAAGTCAACACTCATTGAGCCATTCTAGAACATCACTCACTGTTCCTTTAAGATAGGTGATGAAGCATTGTATCCTTGACTTTTGACAGGATCTTTTTCAGTCTGTAAGGCCTTGGATAAAGTGTGTATGTGTGTTCTGTAATTATTTTATATTTGTATTATGAATCTGTGGAACTTAAGCTTCTAAGGTGCTATAGAAAGCATTAGGGACTTCCCCTCTTCACTTTACCTGATTTTGCTCATTTGTTCATAGTCTGAGAGACTTTTTTTCTAAAACTAATTTTCATATTACAGTTTTGTGCATAGTGGTAAACACCAAGGTAATAAAATAACAGATACTTGAGTATATGCCATGGTTTGGGCATTTTTTTCCTCTATTCCAGGTATTTTTATTATTCTTAGTGAACTTGTTTATATTTAGCATTACTGTGACCCCTAAATTTAACAAGTATTTGTCTTAAACAGTTTTGTCTGAAAACCTTTGAAGAGCATTGGGCCTGCCAATGTTTGATCTCCTTGCCTCAAGGCATTCTCTGAGGAGCCTGTGGAAGTCTCTGATGCCCCTACACCTGATGAACAGAGATAACATAACTGAGGCAGCCATGCCATATGCCTTTTTGTGCTGGGGGGATGTCTGGTGAGATTACTGTATATACTCTCATGTTGGAAAAAGTTGAAAGTTTACAGTGAACATTGAAATTTGGATCATCATTTTCATGTAAGTTTAGCATTGAAATTATCTTATCTCTTTCTGATATCTCCTCTAAACAAAAGCCTTGGTTCATATGTGGAAGTTTTTATTTTCCTAATCTGTTGTGCTGGAGAGCAGTCTGGTCCACATAGGTGCCAATAGTAGCTTCAGAGCTGATACGTAGCCAATTAAGACTCTTTAAATATGCTCGGCAGAATAGGGCACCACTGTCCACCGTTAGCCAAAAACTGTTGTACTAATTTTAATATCTCTGCACTTTGCATTAAAGATGAGATTTAATGAAAAACTTGAGGATTGACTTAGTGTTTGGATAAGTGGCATGCACTGATATAGACAATTCCAGACTGTTACTTTGAACTGGAAAACTAACAATTGCTGTACTTTCTGAGTTATTTATAACATGCATCACAACAGAAAGCTGAGGTTCAGATGATTTCCAAATGTTACATTTGGACTTTCTTACAAATTTTAAGTCATTATCAAATGTGCCTTGATTATTTAGTTCCTGTTTTGCAGAATCTAAGGAATTAGAGTAACAGTAGTGAGACTTTTAGACAAATTGACTAAAAGAAATCCTGGAAGCCACTTTATGTTCAGCACACATATATTTACATGGTGTGTGTGTGTGTGTATGTTCTCATTTTTTATTGAAAATAGTTACTTAATTGCAATCATTCTTACTAAATGTTTCCTCCCTTGGACTGTGGTGCCACATCCCTCCCAGCACACCTGGAGTCTAACTGGCTACATATCAGCTCTAAAGCTGCTGTTGGCACTTAGTTAGACCAGGCAGCACTCGGGAGAACCTCACATCCACATGTGTTACACAGATTCTGTGCCTTCAAAGACAGCAAGAGGGCTGGGGATGTGGCTCAAGCAGTGGCGCGCTCACCTGGCGTTCGAGCATCCCGGGTTCGATCCTCGGCACCACATGCAGGCGGGGATATTGTGTCCGCCGAAGACTAAAAAAAATGAATATTGAGGATTCTCATTCATTCTCTCTCTCTCTCTCTCTCTCTCTCTCTCTCTTAAAAAAAAAGGCAGCAAGAGAGATGACAGGAATGACAGGGAATATTAGAACAGAAGACTGTGGAAATGATAAAAAGATGAAAAGAGATTTTTTTTCCTAGTATTGGTTGGTTATTTTTTAAAACTTTGTTTGCTTTTCTTTGTATTTCTGGGTGTAGGACAAGGTGGAAGCAAATAATAACTCCTAGTTGCTAACTTTGGGCAAGTGAAAAGTAATTCTGAGGCTGAGCTGGAAAATGTATAATTCAAGTACCCTCCTTTATACATTACAAAGTTACAAATTTGTTTCTGGTGTGTTATTTTATAAAAGACAAAAGGATCATAGTTTCATCAAAAAGCAATGCCATTCAAATGCTTTTATTGGCTAAAACTGAAAAAGAAAAGTTTTAAGAAGGGTTGGTTTAGAGTAAAGCCTCCTCTGATTATCATTCTCTTTTAAGGTTTTTTTTTGGTTTTGTTTTTTTTAAACATATGCAGGTCTGGTCATTGGCTCCCTTTAAAACATTTTTAAGGGCTCATTTCCCTCACTTGATCCCCATATCCCGCTCTATCCTTCCTATCCCACACGCCTCTGCTGGGAGGTTCCTGTGTGCCTAAACCAGGTTTTCTGTCCAATGTGGACTCTTCCCTGGCTGTCCTTCATCCCTGGAGTTTCGTCTCCAGAGGTGAGTTTTGTCTCCATGGATGAGTTCCCTGAGAGCTGTTGAGGAGTAGGACTTCACCACCACTCTACCTACAGCCACTAGTAAACCATCAGATGACTACCAGGAGCTCAAATCCTATGCTCAGGGAGTGAAGAAGACACAGAGATTTACTCATTTTTATAAATATTGAGCATGTGAGAGAATTTGTTAAGAATGCTAAACCACAGAGCATTATTTTCAGAATGCCATCACCATCTGTCTCTTCCAACACCAATATAGAACCTCAAAGATAGGAGGCATTCAATAAATATTTACTGGACTCCAACTTTCTTTTTTCCTTCTCTGAATAAGAAGCAAAAATCAACCCCCAAATACTTTGAATACAGCTTAATAGTTGTCCTTTTTGATTACTATTTATTTTGAACATCAATGTGGAAAACTTCTGAGTATCTTAAAAATAATATCTTCAGCATTTCCTGGAAGTCCACAATAAATGGGAAACATACAGGCCTGAATGGGGATGAGAGATGTAACATGCCTCATTTTATAGTTGAGAAAACTGAGGTCCAGATGAAATTTTACTTAAGACCATGGACGAGTATTGAATTCTTTCTCTCTCTGCTTTCTAATCACTTTCAAAAAAAAATCATTTATCCACAAGCTAATTAACATGCCTAGCCCGTATAAACAGTCCAAAAATAGTATAGCTGGAATAAAAACTGAGTTTGTGACTATTTTTTTTTAAGTATTTGGAGCAAGAGACACCAGTGAACCAGTTTATTTATATCTGAGAAAATTAAAGACAATGCTAATAAAATCTTGATACGGTAGAGAATATTTACTTGGGATATGAATTATTTTTTGGATCAATTTACTTCTATTTCTTGATAGTATCTCACACTAATAATCAAAATGTTTGAATGACAACCAAAGTAAATTCATAAATATGATATACTTAAAAACTCATTTTTCTTTTTTGAAATTACTGTCATTTTTGGCTGCAAATGGTGTGACAACCCATGATTACAGTAACAAGGGCTTTAAGAATTATATGTAGACTACATATCACTTTTAGCAAATTTGTGTATTGAAGAACTTTAATAATAGGTTTTATGCAGTCACAGAAAGCCACCTTCATAGACTTTAAATATGATGGGTATGAAAGAAGTTTATATTCTTGCACTCTATGGTTGGGTTGTATTAGTGAAAAGAAAAATTCGTGTGTATACTTGGTATTTTTTTAACCTTCTTTTTTTTGGTTTCTACAGTAGCTTTCTTTTTAATATTCTGCTGGGGCCTGCAGTCCTTCCTGCTGTAATCCCCGCTAGGAACATGCTATATGCACTAAAGATCAGCATGCATGTTTGCAGTAACCCAGTTCCATTCTAGTAGCTTTCCTAAGAGAATTGGTATTTATGTCTACCAAAAGACATGAACAACTATATTCATAGCAGCCCCATTTGAAATAGCTAAAAATTGCAAACAAATTTTATGACAGATAAATGTACAGTACAGTACAATTTCATACAAGAATGAGAATGACCCAAATCCTCCACATGCAACAACTTCATTGTTCTCACAGGCATTGAGAGGAAGACGCCAGCTAACAAATAAATAAGACTCTCTGTTTCTGTACCATTTTCAGTATTTCATTTGTATAAAAACAAGCACAACTGATCTTGGGAGATAGAGGATAAATAGTGTTTACCTCTTGGAGAGGGAAGGAGGACATCAGAGTTTGCTGGAAATAAATAACTATATCTTGATGTGTGTATGTGTGGGTACATATAAAAATGTAAAAAAAAATCAAGTTCTACACTTAAGAGTTATATAGTTCACTAAATAAATGTAAGTTATATTTAATTTTAAGGTGAAGGAAGCACTCATATCTAGAAACTTAAAGATCCTGACTGCTGAGTGATCATGGTTTAAAATTCAGCCGATTATGTACCTCTTCCAAATATATCTGCATTTCTTTGTGTAGTAGTTTCTCTGCTATGAAAGCTGTTAAATCCAATTATCAAAATAAAATGAACTTAGAATCAGACCTTCATTTTAATTTTAATTCTAAAATACATTTTTGTACTGGTAAATGTAAAACTCTACTATAAGTAATGGTAGATTACATTACTGTTCACCAAAGCCCCCTTCTTTTTCTCTTAGGGAAAGGGTTTTCCTACCTTACCCACTGAAGTCAGAGCTAGGCCTGTGGAGTAGCCAGATGATCTCCAGCCAGAGCCTAGAGGACTAGCTAGCTCAGAGTATTGTTCACATTTTCCCCTACTTCTGTGGTCACAGAAGGTATATTGTGGTGGAGCCTCCATAAGCCTAGACCCAAGTGATATCAGTTATCAAGACCTCTATGACCTCTGAATTCTATTTTCTTATCATCACATTAGCAAGAAGTACATTGGCTGTTGTTTTAAGCATCTGATATTTTGGGGTATTCTTCAACTTTGGCATACCTGGCTTATCTAGACTAATAAAATAATTTTTATTTTCTCTTTATTTCTTTACTTTCTAATTTATTTTATTATTTATAATATATAAAATATATAGTAGATATTTATACATGTGTTTTATACATTTGTTATTACATGTATTTTACAATATACAGACAGTATTAACATTTTGCTAACATGATATTTATAAAGTAGAGATTATATATTTATCTCATGTTATAACTATTGGCTTTTCACATTTTTATCTGCCTTCAATTTGATTATGACTCAAGCTCATTTTTAATTTCAAGGTCCTTCTTTTGGTTTAGTGCCTGAAATGTTTGTTTTTTTTCTATTTATATATGACAGCAGAATGCATTACAATTCTTATTACACATATAGAGCACAATTTTTCATATCTCTGGTTGTATATTCGTGTCTTCATACCTGTACTTTGGATAATAATGATCATCACATTCCACCATCATTAATAACCCCCTCCCTTCCCCTCCAACCCCTCTGTCCAGAGGAGGCTGATTCATAGTGGGATAGGGAGTGGGAGCATGAGAGGGATAGATGAACTCTAGTGCCTGAAACTTATAATGATTGTATTTTCTTCTTAAAATTGAATTTGGAGCCATAAATTGAGAATAGGGACAATACCTGCTTACTTCTTTCCTGTGCTCCACAGTACTAATTCTAGTCGTAGAGATGCACTGTCTGCTCAATAATAGCAGTAGAACTACCCAGCAATTTTGAACCATCCACATGGTGTCAGATAGTAAATAGTAGAAGTGCTTCCATTGTTCACAGAGGCCACATAGCTAAACAACCTGCTTCACAGCTCTGCTTCTTTCATGAGCATTAATTACTTTCAGTTTCATTGAAGTCATTCTTATTTTTTTGAAAGACTATTTGAGAGTTTGAAAATTGAACATTTACCCAAAACCTGTTTATAAAACATTAAATCCAGAAGTCATACTTCACAGTAGAAGTCAAATATATTCATTTGCATTTATAGAATGAATTCTATTTTCTTGTCACTTTCATTTTTCCAATTGAAGTTGCCCTCTAATAGAAAAACTTTTTTGCCAAAAGATTAAACAGATGAATTTAATTGATAAGTTTTAGTTAAATTGGTTAGTTTTCTACCTTTAAGTCTGAAATTCAGTGTATCAAGTTTTTGAATGAAGAAACTGATATTCTAGGTTACATGTATAAAGTATTCTGTTACATTTTATATCATTCTTTGTCTTAGACATCAGACTTTAACTTTTGAGATGGACAGGGGATTATGTTTGCCTTACTTTTATTTAAACCTTAAGAGCTTTTCGTAAAGTTTATGAATGTTAAACTTAGGAATATAAATTCTTATTATAGATGGAAAACATAAGCCATGAAATCATTTCATTGCTATTTTCACTGCTGGTGATAATTTTTCTTTTTCAAAAGCATTGAATCTTCTATTCAGATTGATCATATTGATTAACAGGAGATCATATTGACTAAAGAAGAAGAAAAATCCTTGAACAGAAAATAGAACACTGTAGAGGCTGAAGTTATTTGTACACTACTAACCTGTCCTCAGATAGGCATTTAAAAAAATTTATTATATGGCAAACACTATCAATGTGGAAATTACTACATTAAACCTTGGAGACTTGGGAATTAAAACCCCTTCTCTTTTCCAACAAAAGCTAATTTTGTTACAAAATATTTAGGTCTTTCTGTCTGTTCTGTCAATATTAATACGGTTTCTGGTTACTTTTTTTTTTTTGACAGGCTTCAGAGTACAATTGAATAGATAATTTACTTGAAAAAGAAATACCCAAAAGTACTTTCATGTATTGTTTCAGTTTGACAATAAAAAAGTACATTGTGGGATATTTATAGTATTTTTCAATCTATTTTTATCAGTAGACTAGGAGTGATAACTGATTTAGGGCACAGGGGTTAAAAACAGGAAATGTGGTTTATAAGGTAGGCAGTATCTCCAGAGTTTCCAGGGTTGATTTCTTATAGCCTTGACTGAAGAGTGTCGTGTTTCAAAACAACATTAGGCAGAATATCTTGAACTTAGTAAAGGAGTCGTCTATTCGATTGTGACAGGAAGTGCTTCATGGAAAAGTTTGCATTCTTGGTATAGATTCAAATGGTATATAGCAGTTGTTTTCTGTAATTACAGTGTTCTTCCTCTCCAACTCGTTTATAACATTCTTTATCCAGTCAAATTAAGGGTATGTCTCGTGTAACTTTTAGTAAGTTCCCCTTGACCTTTGTGTTTTGTTTAAAATTTTATTTTATTGTTTTAATGAAAGTTTTTTCAAATAGCTGTATAAGAAGGTTTTCAATGGACTGTTATGGGTAAGGAGAAGCATGTATTAGGGGTACTATTAATTATAGCAACCAGAGAATCCAAGTTAAAATCGAAAAGAAGTATAATTTTCTATAGCTTCTCAAATGTCAGCTTGGAAGAATCTATCAAAAGTGGAATCTTTGGACTCAACAGTTCCACTTCCAGGAAGATATCTTACATAAATATGCTAGTAAAATGCATGAATCTATGTTCACTGCAGTATTACTTATGGAAGTAACAGTAGGAGGATGGTTAATTTTGATATATCATACTATCAAATACTAGGTAGCCATTGAAAATTATCCGGTAGATTTATATACATGGAAGAACAAACAACCCAATTTAAAATGGGCCAAAGAACTCAATAAAGAATCTACCCATGACCAATCAGCCTATGAAAAAGGTGACTCAACATTTTATGTCATTGGGGAAATGCAAATTAAAACAATAGTGAGATACCACTACATACCTATTGGAATGACCAAAGGCTAGAACACTGGACCACACCAAATGCTGGTGAGGATGGAAAGTAATAGGAACCCTCATTCACTGTCAGGGGGAATACAAAATGATATAGCTACTTTGGAAGGCAATTGGACAGTTTCTTACAAAACTAAACATACTCTTATCATAAGACCTAGAAGTGACATTATTTAATATTTACTCAAAGGAGCTAAAAGCATATGTCCACACAAAAGCCTACTGGCTGATGTTCATAGCAGTATTTTTCATAATTGCCAAAATTTGCAAGCAACCAAGATGTCCTTCAATAGGTAAATGGATAAATAAATTAGTACATCCAGATAATGGGGTATCATTTAGCACCCAAAGAGATGAACTGTCAAGCTGTGAAAAGACATGAAAGAACCTTAAATGCATATTATTAAGGGACAAAAGCCAATCTTAAAAGCCTGCATATTGTATGATTCTAACTATATGGCATTACAGAAAAGGCAAAACTGTGAAGAGAGTGCAAGACTAGTGGTTACCAAGGTTAGTGGAGAGAGGGATGAATAAGCAGAGTGAGCACAGAAGATTTTTAGGATAGTGAAAATATTCTGCATGTACTTATAGTAGTGGATACATGTCACTATATTTTTGTCTAATCCTATAGAATGTAGAACACTGAGTGAACCCTAATGTAAACAGTGGACTTCAGTGATTGTGATGTCTCATTGTCTATCCATCATTTTATCAAATGTATCACTGGATGGTGATAACAGGATGGCTGTGTTTGTGTGGGTGCAGAGGATATGTGGATATTGCTATACCTTCTGCTCAGTTTTGCTGAGAACATAACTGCTCTGAAAAATAAATATTTTTAAAAGAATACTTGTGATGTATTGTGGAATGACATAATCAATTTCAAGAAGAGAATGTGTACTGTAATCTCCTTGTTTTAGAAAGACATTATATTCATGAGAAAAAATTGAAAGAATATACACCAAACTATCAATTGTGATTATTCCTGGGGAGAAGGATGAAGGAAGAGTTTATTCATTTTTATGTAAACTTATACTCTCGTGGTTTTTAATTTCTTTTCAATGGGAAGTTTTTAAATTTTCAAACTAAAAACTGAAGAACAAAGACTTGATCAACCCAAATGTTCAATGTTCTATTCTTTAATATGGACTTTTCTCCTATAGCAGTCTACCTAGCAATTTGTCCAAAGTGTTAATAGTAAGAATCAAATCTGTATGACACTTTTTATTTATATATTTACAAAGAATTTTCCCATACATTAAGGAAAACCTGAAGCTCAGTGAATTAATTGATTTTTCCAGCTGAGGTTTAAACCCCAATTATTCTAATACACATTATCTATTAAAAGTTATTGCTAGAATTTATTTCCATGAAACTGACACAAAAGGAAGATTAACATCTTTTCAACAAGTAATGAGACATTTTTTTTCCCCCAGAGACATTGAGGAGAAGTCTTATTAACAGAAGCTCTGTCTTTGGTAATGCAGATTTTACCATTTGCCTGAACAATTTTATATCATGCACTTGCTTACTGTTTTGGGATGGTTTAAGACTCCTTTTCTCTACGTGCAAGTTATTTATTGTATTGCATCTGGGCATGTCCCTAGTCCAGTGTAAGCCCTGTAAGAGGAGGGGTTTTGTTGTGGGTAGGTTTGGGTCACTGCCATATCCCTAGCACCTGGAATAGTGTCTGGCATGAAATAGTAATAAGTGCACAATAAATATTTTTAATAGTTATCCTATTCCAAAATCAAGTACCTCCCTACTTCATTGAAAGAACAAACACAAATATACCAAGCAAGAAGTCTTTCCATTTTGATGTGTGAAAAAAAATCTCTTAGTTGTTGGGGATGGTACACTGTACTGGCTGACTTACAGGAATCCCACCCTGCAAGAAAGAGCCTACAAGTCCTAGCACAGAGTAGAAATAAGCTTTGTTTTCTCCATGGGGAATTTCCACAATGGGCTACCAAATTAATTGCTAAGTGATAGTCTGGGTTGATACTGTGTGGGTGGGGACACTTTTTTTGTCAAATATCATGACACATTCTAATTTCATATTCAGAGTAGAGAAGATATATATTGTAAATGCTTAGAAGCTGTTTCTCATTCCCTCACTTAAATAACATGGAAAGTTGTGGGGGTTTATCTAAGGGTACCTTTTTTAAAACAGTACTTATTACT